CTGATTAAAATTTAATCGGCTTATCATTCTCCATATATTTTACCTCTCCATTCTCTGGTTCTTTACTTTAAGACTTATAGGTTATCTTACAGTTCTCCGTCTGTCCCCTTCTTTCCTTCCTTCCTTTTCCCATCCCCTTCCATCGCGTATTTTCCGTCTTCCTCTCCTTCTTCTTCTTCATCTCGGATTTCTTTATTTAATGGTACTACTCAACTCTATCAACCTGTAGCAAATCATATGCCATTTGATTCTTGCTAGCGGCTAGGGAATTTAGTAATTCAAAAAATTGCAACTAACATGTCATCACTAGGTTTGATTCATAATGGACGAAACAAATGTTCAAATCAACACTGAATCTGCTGAAATGACTTGCACCTCATCAGAACTTGACTAGCTTAGACTCCTTACCAGTTATACCTAATTAAGACTCATAGAAACATATATATGGTTGCAAAGTCTCCTTCAGAATTGCACAGTTACTAACTGCATGTTTTACCACTGGAGAGCGATTCGATTAATCCGTAGTTGGACAGAGTGAAGGACGTTCGACGGGAGGTGCTTTTCAACTGTTGGCCGTGTATTGACCATTTGAACATATTGCAATTTCCGAACGTAGGACTCGACACGATGACCAGATCGAAGTGGGAATGGATACGCAACAGGAAACTAAATCAGCCGCCGCCGCCTCATCGATCCTGAAAGCCAGTCCATTGTGTTATCATCATTCGGCGAATCGAAAACAGATTCCAGTTTTGATGCTCTGTTTTTGGTCACTTCTTTGATGGTTTCATTTTGTGCTCCAGATAAACGGTCGACAGTCACACCATCTTACTGCACTCCTTATGGATTAGAACTACCCCCCCCTCCCCCCGTTTAAATGAACAGATAACACGGCAAAAAAATGCTACATGATCCCTTCGCTTCAAGCGGCGCGCAAACATCATATTGGCAACAGTCAGCGGCGCTCGGCGGTAACAAGGCAGAGGCAATCGAACGTCATCCTCTCCCCGCACACCACACCACTGGAAACGAGTGGCGAACAAAAGGGCAAGCTGTCGTTTTCATAAAGAACCGGAAATGTCGGTCGAACAAAAGAGAGGGCTCACCCTCCGCACGCAGCAAGACAAAGGCGCACCTTGCACCGGAAGTGCAATCAGCAGGTCAACGCAGATTGGTTTTCGAGGATGAACAAAGAATCCGCAGGCTATAAAAGGACCAGCCCGCATTGGCAGGAAAAGAGATTACTGTATGGATATGGCGTATTATGATATTTCGCGTGGACAGTTGTTGGCTGTGCTTGCTAGTAAAGCCTTTTGACCAGGTTCCGCGTCCTCATTGCTCGCGATCCCCGGTTGCAATATATGCATAGCAAATGAAATATATATAACTGTTCGTTTAAACGGATGGCTCGATGATTTTCACCTTTCGGCAATTCCGCTCGGAATGATGTATTTTTCTTTGAGTTATGATGTATTGAACTTCGTACGGGAAATACCGCTTGGTAACAGAACAGGAATGCTCGTAGCCATTGCGATGTCGGTGTAAAATAGACTGCAAACTGCTATATTTATTCTCTTTCCTTCTTGAAGATTATACTGCGACGCTAACTGCCATTAAAATGCCGTCACTCAGGGGTGCTAAATTTTCCGCTTTCTAGAGGCATCATATATGTCCTGAGGTGGACGATACTCGCTCCTTAAGTGGAATCCATGGAATGGAAGCAAACAGATTTTTTGCAGCACAAACAATGTTAAATGAAAATTATACCGTGAAAAGCTATTGTGAAACTATCCCAGTATGATTAATATAACGCGTATCAGACAAAACGGTTACATAAAGAATCACCAAGCAATGCAAACTTACTGCCTGCGGCCTCTGAGCATGTGCAATGAGGTTTGGACAATATTCTCGTTATAGTGCTCCTTTGCAAAACATGTGATATATGTGGATCGAGTAGATCCACATCAAAGGCATCGTGTAAGGTACAAGATTATGATGCAGATGGTAAGCATGATTGCTCAGTATGTTCTTTCCCAGGTGAATGCTATGATATCTTTCTGAGTCGGCAATTTGCAATGCCAGATTGCCCAACGGAAGGATGTTAAGTTTCTAGACAGGTTTCAGTGAGATTCGACAGTGTTCACAATCATACGCAGTTAGTCCAGAAAAGATTGTAGAAGCTTCATTGGTTTGAATATGAAAATAAGATTCGTATATTACGGTATACTTCGCTTATTAAACCCTTTGGTATAAAACGGCGATAGATGTTTACGATACCCGATAAACGGGCTGAATATCCTGTTGCTGTATGTAGTCCACCGATAATGTGGCGATGTCACTACTAAACATCCGATGCAATGTCCCTGCATTATCTTTTATATTTTCGGGATTAGGGCAGAGAATTTCGTATCCAACTGTTTAATATTTTGGATGACGCATTTATTGGTTTTGCTTATCAGCGATATGCCGTTCCTATATTTACCCTCCGTTGTCAGGTAACCTCCAAGAATTGTGGGATATTGTACATTCAACAACCTTTTACTGTTGTTTGTGATAATCGTCGTTAGCCGCTACGAAAACTGCAGGCAACCACATTCGTATGTACGCGCATCCTAGAGATTTACATTCTGACACTGGGCGATGCTAACTGTTCTGGCAAAAGAATGATTTCTTACCGACGACAGATTTCCGTTTGGTTTCCTTTGCCACCTGATGTGCTGTGTTGCTGAACGATCATTTGTCGCATATGTTTGGATTTCCGTCAGAGAAATTCAGAGTCGGTGAGGTTCGGTTTTTTAGGAGACAGTCGAACCAAGCAAAATTTCTGTCTGAGCACCTCTAACGTGTTATCCAAAATGGTCGTTACCGATGTCGCAAGTGCATCTGTTTCCATTGAGTAAAACAAGACCGACCTGACCGTTGTGCGGTAACTACGATCTTTCAGTGGCGACTGTTATTATTTCCTCAGCACCGATTCTAGCGTGGCTTTTGAGAGTGAACGAAGCAAGCGCAATGTTTCTGATGAGGTCCCGATCACCGTTACCACAAATGGCGGTGACGACACCGAGGCATTTAAACTGCCGGACTTCTTCACTGGTACAGTTTCCGCTGTTCAACCCGAGTTCTTACTCACCTTTCTCTTCGAAAGGTGCACCTGGAGGCCCGCTTTAACAACAGCTGAGCATGCCACTTCAGCTAGCGACTGAACACTTTCATTACTATCGAACGGTGACAGGAAATTTCATCGTTCACATACATAACGAGAACGTAAATTGCACGATCTTCAGCGAAGATGTCGAATAACGAGGGTGAAAAGATAGCGATGAACGACATTTTGAACGTTTGTCGTGGTAGGGTACTTAACGCTACCCTGATGACAAGATGCTAGAAGATATAATTTGCTAAAGATCAGGCGTTCGAGCTGTCAATGGCTGCGGTTTAAGTTTGCGGAACAGTGGGTCACGTGGAAGAATGTCGGGAACAGATCATACGTCAAAGCCAATCGGCTACTACAGCGTCTATTTTTCCTCCCCTATAGCTTGGAAGAAGAAGAGCGAACGGCCGGGTGGAGATTCCAACGCGTGAACCTTCGACTACCTACCAGTCACACTCTTGACTGACTGAGCTACGCTGACAACCTTTCTTCAGCCAATGAATCGAAAAGGGAGTAAAAGAGGCAACATCCATACCTACCGTAGCAGGTGACTGCAACAGTCGAAGCAGTCAATGTCCTGACTTGTGCGACACGATACGATTTGCATCAAAAGCAGCAGCCGAACTCATATTATCGTCTTACAAACCTCTCCTGATCTTGCAAGTGACATGTTGCTTTTGGCCCGACATCACACGCTCCCAAACAGACTGCTCATATACTGGAACATGAGTTAACTCATTTTACTCAGTACCAGTCGTATGGCAGGACCGAAATTCTTCAAGGCAGATCTGTAAAACAGTTCACATACGTTTGGACAACAGAAGCAACAGTAGGGGAGTACTTACGTTCGAAATGATACGTTTAGGTTTAGGCTATCATTCTGTATATGTTCTAGTGTATTCATTGCTGTTCCTGCGCCTTTGTCCATAGGAGCGATCGCTGAAAAAGGATCTCTTTTTGGTCACTAAAGAAGTGAAATGATTGATTGATTGATTGACTGACTGACTGAAGCAGCGCATTAGGAAAACATATTACCGTACTTTCTGTGCGAATTAATGTTGTTGCTGCTTCGTCATAAGCATCATTTTAACTGCTTTGCAAAACTGGTAGTGTTCGTTCATTCCAACATTTAACGATGCTGATGATAGAAAGTATTTACTGCATCGACAGCAGAGTTTAGTTTCCTGTGCGATGTGATGTGGCGGACAGCGATCGTTCGTCGACATTTAGGGTTCCACATAAGCAGCTTACCATTCAAGCAAGCTTGGCTGCTTACCTGAAGATAATCGGCCATGACAGTGCTTTATTAACCACGTTTATGGATATTCCTGTGAGATGAGTCAACGCAAGAAGGAGGTCGTTCTGCAAGATACGGGAACGAACATGAAATATCGAAAATGCCAGTCGTTCGTTCTTGCTTAGCATTTGGAACATGGTTTTCCGAAACAGATTTACTTTCAAGGCACAAAGAGTATGGTAGTATGATTATCGATGGTTTGTCCGGCGATCGTTTCAGGATTCATGTCACTTGTGACAAGCAAAGAAACTACATT